TCACATTTATATCATATCATACTCTTCCCAGACATTATCTATGATTAATGGGGGGAGTGAGTTTGGACAATCCGAACAGCTAGTGGATTCAATCAACTCCCTTTCTCAACAAACCCAAGAAACCAAGTGGGTTCTTATCAGATTGCTCTTGTGGAGGATTTTGCATAATGCTCTTCTAACAAATGAGAATCGTAGTAGGAGACGCATGGCACAATGTAATTTATGTCCTGTTTGTCAATCTCAACCTGAGACGACGTTCCATGTGTTGAGGGATTGCCCTCCCACTGAACTCCTTTGGCGAAAACTCTTATTCCAATCTCATGAGACTTTCTTTGGTGACATGGATATTCAACTTTGGATCCTTCATAATTTTGATGGTTACTCTATTAAGAGAGGGAGTTGGAACATTGATTTCAGTGTTATGGTGGACCTTATTTGGAGACGCAGGAATGAATTAGTCTTCTTAGAAAAATGGGAGTTGAACTCCATCATTTTGACGAATAAGAGTAGATATGTTGAGGATATTGGCCATGCTAAAAGAGACCTTACGGGCATTTCAAGGTTTCAATGTAGGGAGATACTTACAGTCCCATCTCAATGGTCTCCTTGGGTTCGTGTTTATTGCGATGGAGCACATTCACACCGAACCAATAAGACTGCTTGTGGAGGCTTGCTTATTAATCATTCAGGCATGTATGCAGGGGGGTTTGCTCGTTCTCTAGAGGCCAATTCTGTTGTTCAGTCAGAACTTTGGGGCATATTTCATGGGTTAAGATTAGCTTTAGTTAAAGGATTTACTCACATTTATATCATATCAGACTCTTCCTAGACATTATCTATGATTAATGGGGGGAGTGAGTTTGGACAATCCGAACAGCTAGTGGATTCAATCAACTCCCTTTCTCAACAAACCCAAGAAACCAAGTGGGTTCTTATTAGTAGGGAAAGCAACACAATTGCCTACCAAATATCTCCTTTATAGTTTGAAATTTTGGTATGCAATGCCTAATTTAGGATATTATTGGTGTAACCATATCATTGTCATTATGTTTAAACGCACATTTTTGGTCGTAGTATATTAATAGTTAACCATCACTATCCAACTTTCGTGTAATTCGTCAAATTTGATAAAAATTTTCAAAGTCAATCAAGGATGTAATAATCCCCTTCTCATCACATTTACGAATCTTCAACTAGTAGTGGAACTAAATTACTTAGAATTATACATTCACAACTACTTGAATATATACTATTTAACATTCATAACAGTGTGAAATACGACTATTCAAATATGAACATATATATATATAATAATTTTGCAATTACAAAATATATAACTTAAGTGATGATCAATCACAACTATACAAAAGTTACTCAAAAGTAGCACCAAAATACAACAACAAGCACCATCTGTCCAATGGTCTCCATTGGTACACCTCAATAAAATCTATCCTTTATTTACTCTCATAACAAATATGATTATTGTAGTTTTAAACTTCATGAAAAACATGTAAGGGTAAGCATATATAATAAAAACAACACATTTTTATAACACCACCATACATTTAAGCAACATGAATAACAATTTCACATCCGACTTGCTAACAATACTACACAGACAATTTGCACATAAAACAACTCAACAACTTCATTACAACAACATGATCATCATATAACAATATTCAACTAATGCATCGTCATATATATTCTCTACGAAAATCTCTTACAATGGAGATAAACAGTTTAAGTGATTAGATCCTATCAAATTACAATGTTTGACCTATCTCAATCAGGTTAGGTATAGATAATGTAGGCTTCATAGAGTGCTAAGTATAGAAAACTTGTAACATATTTTTTTTTGTAATTATTTATCTTTATAATTTATGTAAATTATTATATGTTTTATTGTGATAAATATGCATTAAATATTACGTAAGTTTATTGTGAATGCAATTTATGTTGTATCATTGAGGAAAATTTCTAAAATTAGTGACACACAATTTTATTATCTACTTTGACTCTTTCTCAAACAACATTGTGACCATGCTATAAAATATAAAAAG